GATTTTCCTCTGCTTTGTAAAGAATATTCCTTTGAACATTTTTATTGCTGAATCCATTTGATGATATAAATCTTGTTTTAATTTTGAATTTTGTAATTTTAAGTTGGATTTTTCCCCAAAATACATATTACCTATTTTTTTCGATTACCTATCCAGTTTAGAGATCAACTTACTCTTATTTCGTTGTGTGCATGGTTTTAGGAACAAGATTTTGAGGAGTATACCTGTATATCATTCCGGAAAAGTTGATCTGTCGTTTGAAATCATCCTTCAATTTTTGGAAAGCGGCGTGGTTTTCGACTGACATTTTTGAATGGAAAGTATTCCCTGCCAGGTTCCAGTCATAATCCAATTCGTCCTCGGGAGTTGCAAGCGGTGCTTTACAAGATATCAAACTGGAACAATAATTCACCCAAAGATGAGTAAAACTACGTAACTTTTCCATGATGACTGTTAAGACAGTTAAACTGAGGTTTACTTAGATAAAAAAGGGACTCATTGGCCAGATAGGTGCTATTTTAGATTTTGTTACCTTCTCCCATCCCTTTGATGGACAATTATTAGACACATCCCAAGTCCGAAACAAAATCAGCACAAGCGCCTTCTCTTTGAGGAAGTAGGATTTAGATATTTTTAATTGTTGTTGTTTTTATTTTCCCCCTCACTTAAACATTCTAAGTTTAAACTGCAAGTGCGGTTTTAGATGCTTTCAGTGCGGTATTTCTGACATCTCTCTCTTTTCTCGCAGGCACCTATCAGGTACGTATAGGTCTCCCTAATTTATAGACAAGGTCCGTCCCTTTAACGTAATTTATCGTATCTTTCTAGCAAAAAACTATGTATAAATGTGATTAAGTCAGGCAAAATAACCCTGAAGGTGGAAATGTAAAAACAAATTGACAGCCATCGGTAAGAGGGGTTGCATGATTCTGCATCATTTGGCGCAAAAAACATCCAAAATTTCTTTCCAGGCTGGGATTAATTTGAAATATGAATACAAATAATAGGAAAATTTGACAGACACACTGTTCAAGTTTGTCGGATGTTTTCAGCCTGCAGGAAGATTCCAGTCCAAACGCTTCCTATCCAGCATAATAGAGAATAGAGACTTCAAATATCACCCTGTATTCTTGAGAGCGCTCGAAAGTTTTTAATGAAGAAATATACAAAAATTGTTGGCCTTAAAATAGTTTTTTTGCTTCACTGAACACGCTAGACGGAAAAAAAGCGTTGGGGGTTATCCCCGAAAATTGTGGCACCTCCCAATTTGTTGGATGATATGAGCATTTTTAATGAATTGTAGTAATACCACAACATGTGGGTTAGTAATATTAGGGTCCCACCATAATTAATTGGAAAAGTCCATATCATCCAACAACCCCTACCTCTTGTTTTTTATATGCATAAAAGTCGTTTCCACAGCGCTCTCTGGCGCGCTGCGACGCGACGCGCGCACAGTTAGGGTGGTCCAAGTTAACATGGGGAAATTTTTTTTTGGCCCAATGAACCGCGACTCAACCTAAATTTGTTCCTTACCATCCAAATATGATACCTGCCAAATATTTTCGTTCTCCGACAATATTAACACGTGCCGACTTGAGGCTGAAAATCTCCCAAAAAATTACATTGATTTAAATGGGGCGAAAATCGGCCGATCCGCGGTATTTCGTTTTACGGCTGTAAAATGCGCCAAAATGCAAATAACTTGCTCTTAACCTACGAAGATACCTAGAGGCCTATTGTGATTGAGAAAATCACACATTCGACCCATTGGGAGGGGGGGAGGGGGTCGCAGCGAAGCCGATTCCTAGGCCCCGCGGCCCTGCGCGAGGCTCCATGCGCCAAACTGATAAGAGAGGAACGCGCTCGCATTTTCGGGCTCCCTGCTCCCTGATACGCATTGCCGTACTACAAATTAAATGATGTTATTTCTAGAGTTTGAAAAGCAAATCAACTGACCTGCTGAGAAGCACAGAGGCAAAGTATTTTACAAAATGTTGCCGAGTACAGAAAGCTCTTCAGGGATCTCAACAAAAAAAAAAAGGATGACTCAAGACTTCTGAATAGAACAGAAGGTAATATTCTTTTTACTACCTGTTTTTTATTTTAAGAACTTTAATTACGAAAGTCTTTTCCACAACTAATGTCTACATAATGTTTAATGTGTATATAATTTATTGTGTAACATTTGGCAATGCAAAACAAATTTTTGTTCACGAGATAGAGTACTTGCTCTTGCTCCTTATCTAGGATATAGTCTCATTATTATAGTTATGTCATCATCATTATTTTCAGTGGTTTTACTCGCTTTAAATTCACTTTAAAAGCATGCTCATTCAGTTTTCAATTGATATTTTTTTTAAATACGCACTGATACTTATCAGCGGGCATCAGAAATTTTCAAGCCAGAATATGTTTTAGCTACTTTACCGTTGTTGCAGTTTTTGATATTTTCGAATATTTTTTAGGTTCTCTCCAAAAAAAAATTTTCTGAATGCTATATGTCAAGTGCTGAAACTTGAAATCCGTATTTTATAGGTGCGGTCGAACACAAGTAAGGTGCAACGCTGCTTTTTTATACCAACGTTACAAATTTTAATAACATTCGTCTTGTTTTGCTATTTCTTGCAATTTTCCTAAAAACAGTCTTACGGTGGCAGGTTTTAACATTATCAGAGAGTAAAATAAAACGTGGCCGGCGTCGTTTTTGGATCAAATGGAACTAATTTAGGGAGCGTCGCAGTCCATTTCCCGAAGTTGCCCGGAGCGTATCACACTAGCGCATGATGCTTTACGCGGCGCCCCAGCAACTATGAATCGGCTCCACTGTGACCCCCTCCCAATGGGTCGAATGTGTGATTTTCTCATTCACAATGGGCCTCTAGGTATCATCGTAAGTTAAGAGCAAGTTATTTGCATTTTGGCGCATTTTACAGCCGAAAAACGAAATACCGCGGATCGGCCCATTTTCGCCCCATTTAAATCAATGTAATTTTTTGGGAGATTTTCAGCCTCAAGTCGGCACGTGTTAATATTATCGGAGAACGAAAATATTTGGCAGGTATCATATTTGGATGGTAAGGAACAAATTTAGGTTGAGTCTCGGTTCATTTTCCGAAGTTGCCCAGTTTGGACCACCCTAGCGCACAGTACCCGGTCCTCCCACAACCTAACGCCACTTATTTACTGGGCGTTCCCTTCGTCTCCTCTTTTTTCCGTGACAAACAGTCTTGCACGAATTCGCCCGTTTTTGGGCCCTCGAAATCGGGGTCCATGTGAGATTAGTTTTCATCCTAGGATGACCCTTTACACAGACTAAAATTTCAGATTGAGTATACGAACCGTTTTCGAAATACACGGGTCAAAGTCCCCGATTTCCACTCATTTCTGCAGGTATTTTAATGTCAAATTCCGACTATAAATTATTCCGTAAAATCGGGGACTTTGACCCGTGTATCTCGGAAACGGTTCGTATAATCAATCTGAAATTTTACAATGTGTGAAGGGTCATCCTAAGGATGAAACATAATCTCACGCGGACCCCGATTTCGAGGGCCCGAAAACGGGCGAATTTTGGCCCTTCTTGTGCAAGGCTCTTTCCACCCGAAGGGTCCTCGGCCTGACCCCATGAGAAATGTAAATTTTGATACAGACCTTTTCGGTTGGAGCGGTGCCTGGACAGGAGTGTCCTCATCGTTGGCTCCTCTGTCGGTCTCGACGGCTTCGTAAACGTGGTAGAGAATATTATCCACGGAGCCGGGGAGTTTGGGGTGAGACTCGCCGTCGCGGAGTTTGGGGTGAGACTCGCCGTCGCGGAAGGCCCTCGGCGGGGAGGGCGCATCGGCAAACTGCCGCGGCGGGGGCACCTGGAGCTCCTCGTAGACGGCGTCCAGCTGAGCCTCTCCGTCGCTCGGCTGCTCCGAACCGGGGGAGGACGCGCTCTCGTCTAGGAGAATCGCCTCGCTGCTCGCGCTAAATTCGTGCCGCCGGGACGTCGTCGTCTTCGTTGACGTCGTCGTCTTCGTTGACTCAGCCTCGATGGACTTCTCACAGTCCTTACCTGAGCCGCAACAAAAAAATGGAATCGAATCAAGTGAACGAATATTGACTGTGAACCTGCAAAAATGCGTATCTCGCTTACATAGAGTACTTACATAGAGCCGTGATGTAACTGGTATAGAGCCATGCTCTGGTCGACGAGTTTCGAGTGCGCCGGGCTTCGGCCACTTTTTCCATACATTTTCGATCCAAAATGGCGATGTAGAATACGCAGGAATTCCTAGCCTCCTCGTTTACATCAGATGACCGGGTCCCCGTGTATCGAAAACAATCGATTATGTATCGAAAAAGTGACCCGGTGTGACACAGGAGTCTCGAAATTCGGGACCTGGAAAATGCTTAAAAGTGACGCCAGCTCTCCCAAATAAATTACGACTTTATGTACTCTATGCTCGGTTGCGGTGTTTCAAAACCTCCACTTTTATTTTGATTTTTAAAAGGAGACCAATCATAAAGGACGCATTGAAAATTCAAAAAGTATTCTCCGGATGGAGAAGAAAAATTACTGGAGTTTTCGAGAAATGACGTTCAGGAGTTTCCGATATGAAAAATAAAATATGACTGGAAGTTTGCAACGCCGCAAACCGAGATACGCATTACAGCAATTTCACCATCCATATGCTGAAAGCCAAAGAGTTGGATTCCTGTATAGTTAGGGAGATCGCTGTCATTACCGTATCCCCCTTCAAAATGGACAAATTTTTGATAGTCGACGGAACATTTCTCCATATCCTAAACCCCGTTGTGAGCCTAACCGGAGCTGGAACGCTCTCCTGTCGCACAGTGGATCGAGTCAATGGGAGAGGTCGGACAAAATGTGGAGACTTTAAACGCTCATAACTCCGTTTATACAAAACTTTGAGGTTCTAAAAGTGGCTGCATTGGTTTTCTTGTGAAATTATCTTCTAAAAGCATCTCTTGAAATGTAAAATGTGCCGAAATAAACACCAACATTTGCAGTTTTAGTAAAAAATTTCATGTCCGACCTCTCTGGTTTACTCGATCCACTGTGCGCCGTAGGGCTCTAAAGGTAGCGAAAATTTCGGAAAAGTCTCCTCCCAAAATGGGGCCGACAACATTTTCCCAATGTAAATGCTTTTCTTCCCGATCTCAAGAAAAACGTTGTATTGTATAGGAATTACGTATACACGTATTATCTATAACGTGTCGGAAATGTCCACAAGGAAGACTTAACGTCTCTGGTTGCATCAGCTGATAATCGTAACGTAAACACTCTCTGATTGTGCGCGAAGTTAATGAATCGCCATGTGAATACTAGGGGGCTACGCCCCCTGGCCGCTACGCGGCCCAACCCCCTGAAGGCGCTCCGCGCCATCAATGGGCCGCTTCGCGGCCCTATTTTTACCCTCCTATCGGTGTTAGTTTTATTTTTCCCCCTAAAAAATTACGATATGAGGTATACTTCAATTTTAAACTTTACTTAAAATTACTTTAAAATTAAAAGGACGCGTTTTGGAATGACTGCTTGATGAAATATTGCAGTAAAACAATGAATAATGATAGTCAAGGAAACGTTTTCATGATTCGGGAATCGAACTCACACCGAGTTCAAAGTGGATGCATTCGACGTCTTAGACGACTCGGCCACCGCTCAGCGTGAGCTGTTAGGCGCGAATCTTGTGTAGATAAGTGTAGAGCTGATGCGCAGGCTACACAGCTACTGCGCAACCTCCTCGACCACTGCGCATCCTCCCGCGCATAGCGGTAGCAGTACCGGAGCATTCTGTAAACTCACTCACTTTTATAACGTGATTTTAAAAAAACCTGGGTCCTTTTTCCAAAATTTGATTAGAGCGGGCTCATCTAGGACCTATTACCTGTCGATTTACGCAAAAATCATGGAAATCGGCCCGGTAGAACGCTCAAACGAACTATGACAAAAAGTATAAATTTACATTGTTTAAATGGGAGAATTCGCAACTTCACCACGTAATATAAAAAAACCTGGGTCATATTTTGAAAATCTAAAAAAAGTTGGCTTATCTAGAGACAATTGCCCGTCGATAGCCGCAAAAATCATGAAAATCGGCCCGGTAGAACGCTGGAACTAAGCGTCACCAGTTTCGCAAAATTAGGAGGTCTTGGAGCTTATAGTATAGATTTACCGGAAGTAGGTATTTGGCATTTCTGATTACATAATCAGCTAATCGCCAAAACACACTCTCATTATGCGCTCGTCGAGAGCAGACGACGTCAAGTGAGTATTCCCGGTGAATACTGATTTAACGCTGTGTATCTACTTCGCGCAATCAGATAGTGTTCCCGGTGATCAACTGATGTAGCCGGTAATGCTAAATGCCTACTTCGGTAAATATTCGCTCGACGCTGTGACTTTCCCGCGCGTTCAGAGTGTGAGGGATGACTTCATGAAAACGAGAATAGTACCTAGTGTCACCAGTTTCATATGCAAGTATTTTCAAGGCTGTCAGACAAACTGATAAAAAAAGAAAAAACTTGCTGATAGACTACGTCTTATTTGAGAGCCTACATCAGATTCATGCAAACAATTACAAAAAAGCAACATCAATGAGACTTTTAGACCGTAAAATATGGGATTTCAGTTACGTGTGACGGACAGAGGAAATATGTCCTGTTGTTTACGCAATCAATAGGACATTTTACGGCCCAAACGTATGAGATGATTTTGTATTTTCCATTGGATTAATCAGGTGTTACAACTGTTTAAACGTTTGCAACAACCTCAAAATTTGAATGGTAGTATATAAATCTTTTGAGAATGCGTGCAAAGTTTTCTACGCTCAAGAGTTTGACCATTTAAATGCTTACCAATTTTTCGCGGGAGCTCCATTTTTTCAAAATATGGTGGACAGCGGATATTGTAGATGTTTTCTGAAGACAAACTCCTATAACGCTTTGGAGGTTGTTTCTGCACTCCTTGTGAGAGGTGAAGTTGTTTGTCAGCTGGATCTCTCTCTCCGACTTTTTGTTGAATATGTTTGGGAAGCTCAAGAGTTTGTTGATCTCTTTGATGCCGAACTCGTTTTTCCAATGATTCTGAGAAAAGTACGTGCTCATCCTCGGGAGTTGTTTCTGGCGTTTTCTCTTGATTTTTCCGAGCAAGTTTTTCAAGTTTTCTACGAAGAGTATCAGTATTTAGTACCCGAGGGTCCGCGTCTACAAATTAAAACCAAAGATTTTTTAAAATGTTTGAAATACAGCACGCTGAAATTATTAACCTTATGATGGTACATTCTATCCACAGGGTCGGCGCAAGACGAGTCTTTAACACTCAACACTTCAATTCTGTTCGTAGAAGAAGAGGCACGGGCAAGTGATTGGTTAAAATTATCTAGGTCATCAAATCAACGTCACTACTAAGTGACGATGTAAGATGCCTGTTTTCAAGAATTTTATACACGACAAAGTGAAGAGATAAACATTTCTTTTGGCATAAGAATAAAATATCGAAAAATAACTCGCTGGAGGCAACTTTAATGTTTTCTAAAAACACTGAAAAAAAAAGTTCGGTAAATCCGAACTAGTTAGGATCATATAGAACCACGATTTTATTCGGTACACACGACCGAATTATTCGGTCTGCTCAGCCGAACTGTTCGATCCACTGAACCGAACTGTAAGAATTTATTATGGTTCGTTCGCACAAACCGAACAATGCGGTTGAACAGACCGAATAATAATTCGGTTGTGTGTACCGAACAAAACCTGGTTCCATAAGGACGTATTTCTGTCAAATGGAACTAAGCGCCATAGGGAGAAGAAGGTAGAGGGGGGCTTGGATTGGCAGCGGAACCGGGCGTCGCGCGTCGGGCTCATTCCGTCCCAAATGCTCCCAAATGCCAAATGCTTCCCCATGCTTTCCCCATGCACTCCCAATGCTTTTCCATGGCGCTTAGTTCCGTTTACCAGAACGCGCTATCCGGCATTCTTAAATTCCTCAAAAGGAAATCAAATTGGCGCTTAGTTCCGTTTGATAGAAATACGTTCATATAATCCTAACTAGTTCGGATTTACCGAACTTTTTTTTTTTCAGTGAAGCCTCATAGAGAGACAAGGAGTTGTTTGTGTGGTTTACTAGTTTTGGAGGCAAGTTGGCGAAGTAATAAAAGAGTTAAATTATCAATGAAAATAAGGGTGTTTTGTAAAACAATCGTGACGGGTATTTTTCTTACCTTGCTGACTGTGTTCACTCGAGGATTCAATCGAGGAATGGTGACTGGAAACCCAACCACTCCCCTCAGAGTCAGTTTCTGACTCATCTGAGGACGTTGTCATGTTAATCTCATCGGTTAGGTGTCCAGGATTGGCCAAATTTGGCATGGACTCGCTCCAGTAAAGGCCGTTCCCAGCTTTTTGCGCATCATCGATTGACGAAGCACTGTGACTTAGCCTAATTGGCTTCACACAGTCACCATCACCAGGTACCTAAAAATGAAAATAGTATCGAGTTTCACTAATTGAAAATCAATTTCAAATAAATATTATATTTATAAATATAATGTATGAACTATAATATAATAAACTAAATATTCAAATACATATTTATATACAATCTACACCAATTAGAGAATCGAGAGGTAAGAAACCAAGGGCCGTTTTTAAGATCTCTTGTCAACCTCAGATTACCAAACCAGTGGTCAGACTCTAACCAGCAGTCAATCTGCTACTCAGGCTGTATACTGGTTTGCGAGAAAGAGCAAAGCCTGACTGGGACTTGACCTGGAGAAAACCGGTAACAATACACACCTACCTTTGGTCAAGTTCTGGTCAGCTCAAACCACCACTTTAACAAGCACCTGACCAGAGGTCTTACAATCGGCCCTTATGCTGACATCATTCAAAGGAAATGACCTACGTAAGTATGTCCGTATGTTTCGATGGACGGATTGAAAAGCAGGTAATGCAGGAGGCTCTTCGAAATTCCGTTGAATGCACTCCCTAGATTGGTTCTATTTGATGAAAATCAGTGTGGAAAAAATTGAGGCCCTTTACAAGGTTAAATGGTCCTGAAAACTGTGGAAAGTGGCAGCGCGTAAAATTGAGGGAGCCCATTTTTACGCGATTTGATCAGCGTTTTTGAGTGAGTTATAGGTACATGACACCCATTACTTTTGGTGCACTTAACTTACTTTTTTGCATAGAAAAAACATATCGTAACATATGTTCTTGGGTAATTACCTATCTTTCTCACAAGTAGCTCATCCCCTAGAGACTTAAACGCCGAGGTAGAAAAGTAGACATACAATTTCAACTGAAACAATCCCCCATTTCACAACAAGTTTTCCTTGGATGTTTCAAATAAAGCGTTTGGCCGTTTGATACAATGAATCTGCATAAAAAGTGTATACTCGGGGACTCAAACGCACGGGTAAGTACGTACGAATACCTATTTTGACGATAAAATCCCCGCATTTGGAGCTAAATTGACTAGGAAACATTGATAGTAGAAATAATCTGACAACCTATTATGCAGTAAACTGCCATGCTGAGGAAATACGCCGTGTGAAAATTCAAATGTTGCCAAATTTTCTCGCAATAAATTATTCCGTTTCGAGGAAACCTACAAACGTTCATTTATAAAATGTGCGGATGCGTCGGAGTGAAATGCAAATAAAATTCTTTGCAAAATAGGAAAAATAATATATGCATAAGTTACTTGAAAATTTGTGTTTTTATGAGAGGAAATTCGGCAACATCTGATGGTTCAGACCATCGGCGTTCTTCCTTGGGATGACAGTAAACACCTGCGAAATCAGATACAGCCACGGCCCTTGCGATGACTTGCTCCGGAATATTTTGTGGCCTCCCTACGATTAAATGGACGTATATTTATACTGAAATGAACTATGTTGCAAGAAAATCCTATGCTCATAATTCCTTTTAGCATAAATACGTCCAAATAATATAATGTGACTTGTGTATGGGTATGTGGGTGATCCGAACCGGGGCCTATGAAGCGGCTGCGCTTTTCATCTTACTGCTTTCGGGTTCTCAGGGGAATGCTTGGAAAATGAATAAGGTAGTCATTTCCACAAATGATACTAACCTCTAAAAATTGACCAAATTTATTGTCACTCAGCCGGTCGGGGCTTCTGATTGAGCAAGCAGTACTGCCCTGATGGTTTTTCAGTCCTTTCTGAGGAGAACCATTTTTGAACTTATCAGAAGAATCTTGAAATTGGTTCTTTTTGTCAACGACCGCTATACCTCCAAATGACGCGAGTCCCTTATTGGGTAGTAAGGGTTCCTCAAACTTTGCACTTCCTTGATGATTCAGCCAAAGATGAATTTGCTCGCTCTTAAGATTATTTTCGAGCTTCGGCACCGCTGGGACACTGTCATTAAACTTCCTCGTAGTTTCAGACGAAAAGCTAAATTTTCTTTGCCTGGATTCACTCTGTTTATCAGGCGTCAACGGACTGCCATTTAGTCGTTCAGAAGTCCCAAAAGTAAAGCTGTGTTTCCTCCCTCTTAAATTATTCGTTTTCGATCCACTCTCAAGAGATGCATTCATGAATGAAAATTTAGAGAACTCAGCAGGTCCATCTAGTACTTTCTTATTGACAGAGTTTGGGGATATACTACGCGGCCATTCAAACTTTTCAGGGGCAAATTGGTTGAAATTAAATTTCTCTCCTGCTCCACCGTCAATAGCGCAATATTTTTCATCCCTTTTAGGAACAGGTGATTTGCTTGAATCTTTAAAATTTTCCGGGACTCCTAAATTAGGACTTAACCCATCGCCTGAGGTTTCTAAATCACCGCCTTGGAACTTTTCAGGGGCGCTCAATGTGAAACTAAACCTTCGACTAATATCGCCTAGACTCCCTGACGTCTTGATTCCCTTCGAATTCTTTTCAGTGCCCGAAAAAGTTCGATTTCTTGGTCCTTTTTCATTGAGACCGCCTCCAAGCTCGACCATGAAGTCCATATTTTTGTTGAAATTATTGAGTCCGTCCATGACTCCAAAAGCCGACTTGCTATCACAGCTACACCCGGTATTTAGTTGCTCATCAGTGACTTTAAAACATTCCGAAACACTTTCTCCAATGTCATCCTCAAAGCCTTCCGGTGTTGCCAATATTATCGTGACTTCTTCTTTATCCGATGCATTGAAAAGAGGTTCGTCTGCTAATACGTCATTTGGTATTGATTGCACTACATTATCATTGAATACCGAAGTTTTTCCTGTCGAAATGTTAAATTGACGTTTGAAATTGAGGTCTGTCAGCGGCAAAGCTTTCAGTCCTGAATGTGAAAGAGTTGAACTGTCGTACGAGCTCCTTCGAGCTTTACCTTTGTTGCTCGTGGTTGTTTGTGGAGGCGGATCATTCTTGGTGTCACATAAAATCGAGTCTCTTGATCTTGAGAGTCTGTTGCCCTCCGACATTCCAGACGGACCGTTCTGCACCTTATTATGTCTGGAGTACTCAACATCTGAAACACGAGTCTTCGTCTTTCGTCTCAGTTCAGACGGTAGGTCTACTTTGTCCTCGCTCAAGATAGAATCCCGTGATCGAGATAATCGTGGACCGACGTGCGGTCCCTCTGAATTACTCGATATCTTTTTTACCTTAAAAGTCCGTTCAGATTCATCGATGAATGGAGAATGTTTACGATGCTCAGAGTTCTGTGAGTGCCATGATGCTGCCCCAGCGCTGGACCCATTATTCGTCCTCCCAAAATTTCTAAAATCAGGCATTGGAATATCTTTCGTACCTTTCTGCGGTTTCGTCAAACAACTAAGTCGTATATCGTCTAGATCGTCGGACAAATCAAAATTTTGAGCGTTTGGCAATGAGGATTTCCCACCAGTGAAGCTCTTGGACATCCTTAGATCGAGTCTTCTTTCGTTAATTAAGTCAATGGTGTGTCTGGTGGATCTGTGACAGTCAATTTTATTTCTTGGCTTGATATGTTTCGATTCGTTCATATTTTCTTTTGAATCGTCAAAATCACTATCTGCAACTTTATAATGGCTCCTCCGAGAGGAAAAATTTGATGGCAAGCTAGAAAATTTATCCTTTATCGAGGCTAGGCCTGTTTTTCGAGTCTGATTTTCGAGAAACTCTCGGAACCGAGCCTGCTCTTCTTTAAAATCCCTCTTCATGCTTTCCTCTTGGCGATCTTCTGCTTTATCTTTTCTCTTAGTTTTCCTCCGATGTCGATGTTTCCTTTTACCTGTTTCCTTTTTACTTGTTTGAGAATTTTTTTCGCCATTACCTCCTAATCTATCACTATGATTCGTGCACTCTTTGGTTAGTTTCTTTTGATTATCGGACTCCACCTTCCACCTATTAATCCTATCTAGTCTTTCATTTAACCAATCAGCTTGACCCTGTGACCGAATTCTGCGCAAGCTCACTTTTTCCGGCAGCCCTCGAGGCCTACTTTCTTCACTCGTAAATCTACCAACTCGATCTCCAATCTTGTTTCTCTGCAAACTTTGCACTTCAAAATGTTTTTGAGGAGCCCAGGCACCATCTAGTCTATCCCGGAAATCCAACGTGGTCCAAAATGAGAGATCATTCCTATCTAAGTTATCGACGCTATGAATTCTGTTTTTAAGCCCATCGGTTTGATGCGACGAGCGGTCACCTACTTGGTTCATCAAATCGGTCGATACGTTTATGCATCTTCCTCGGCCAATCTGATCGCTCGATCTCTGCTTGCTTGATTTGTTCGACTGTGAAATTGTATTGCTTTGCTCAGTAAATGCATCTACCCGTGCGGTGTCCACTCTAGTTGCTTGTCCAATCTGATTTATGCGCTCGGTTGATGTGCCGCATGTTCCATTATGAATATTAATTCTTCTCAACTGGTTCATTTTGTCAACTGACAAATTACTTTGCTCGTTTGAAGAAATGTTCCGCTCTCTTTGATCAAGCTCTTTATTCGAGGTATTGAATGCTCCTTTCAAACTGCGTGTGTTTTCCTTCCGTTTGCTAAAAGAACACGGTAATGTGTTACAAACACTTCTGTTCTCCAATGCGTGCATGCCTGTTGCATGGTCAGTTTCACTCTTTATACCTACTTTAGCAAAGTCTCTACGTTTGTCTGTTAGGCTGGCTGGTAGCGTTGAACTGTCAAATGCGAGGCACGGTATATTTTCCTCGCCATTCTCTACGCACTCTTTCAGTCCAGCTATTGTGTTACTCCTTTTATAGTCATTCGTATCAGTCATCCTCGTTTTGACTTTGGAGCTATTCTTCCCGTTATTGATCCGGCCCTTGGCATAATTGGCAGTCACATCGCGGTTACTACCTAGTTGTCCGTTTGAATCTCCAAATGAATGCGCATTGTGACCTTTCCTCCTAATTGACATTTTACTATCCCCTAGATCATCGGCAACTCCGTTGCGACAACTTGAGTGTTTTTCGTCAGCCATTTTCCATACAGTTTCTTCCTTGTTACCTTGCTTCGATAGATTATCCCTCACACAACAGAGATTTTCGTCATCTTGCCCTAATTTCGAGAATCCTCGGTATACCCCATTCTGTTTATCACCCGTTCTACTTTGATGGTCCGTCACCACAGACTCGACTTTCTGGAGTCTGTAGTCTTTGATAGCTTGCATTTTCCTGCCGCTTCTGTTTCTAGATTTATCACGGGAGGGGTAGTCTTTATCCACGTCTAGGCCACTATCACCACTGCTATAGTCTTTGATTTTGTCTGCTTTCCGAGTTGTCTGCTGTGACAGTCGTAGTGGCAGCGTAGCTTGAGTCTCTAAGGAGGTCTTTAATAATTGATCCAAGGATTTACTATGTCGCGCCTGCGGTATCAACGTTAGAGAGGCTTTGGTGATATTTTCGTAAGGCTGATATGTAGACTCTGGCCCTGAAAAATAAACCAACAATTATTGTCTGCTGATCTGAAATCGACGGTGAAACTGCAGGCACGCGTATCTCGTTCGCGGAGTTTTAAAATCTTTGCTCCCATTTTTCTTATCAAATGAAAAGAATGAAACGCTATTGTTTGGAATTTTCACAAATTATTATTCACGCAGCAATAAAAAAAAATGGAGGTTGAGCATCTCTTCATTCAAAAAGAGAGTATAACAGGAAGTCTGCAACGCCTTAAACTAAGGTGCGTTCCTGCAATTCACCGTCCAAATGACAAATTATATGTATCAACCATGTCAGTCGACTTTGGATGTTCCTGTTTTTAGTTTTAAAATATTCAAACAATGGAATTTGAAGATACTGAATTAAAGGAAAGATCATCTTTGTCGTCAATGAATTATGACTACGGCAAAGGAAGCCTTATGGTGATATGGAAGCTGAAGCGGTTGAACAGTTAACTTATCAGCTCAACATCGAGATGACAGAACGGTGTCTCCATGACAGACCCCAGGGAAAACGACTTACTTAACTTAACTAGGCTTTATTTCCCTTTGTATGGTGTGATTTTCTCAAAGATCGTCGAAATTGTTCCTATTGGAACGAAGTTCTCTCATCAATAAGTACTCATTTTACCTAGAGTTTATAAGAACTCACTTGCCTTCGTAACCTTGGTTACGCTTAGGATAAAGAATTTCCACTCATTATAGAATTTTCATCGGTCGATTACGCTTATTTCTTTAACAACACAGCACAGCTTAAATTGATCACATAAACCTTCATGATATTGATTTCAAAATGCCAATGATCGCTGAGCACATCTCTGAAAATTACATTATAGGTTCCCTCTTGTTTTTTTTTTTATCTTTCTCCCTCTCCAATCAGTTACAATCGCGGATGCATGTTCAACCTGCTCCCGTGTTATACTACGAAAACAATGTGAAATCCAAGAATGAATTGCAACTTTACCCGATGGGTTTGGGATTGGTTTAGCTTGCGGCTTGCGTAAGCTGTTGCTGAGTGACTGTTTGTGAGACTCGAGGATCGCCACAATCCCACAACTGCAATCGGTTTCGTCAACCTCGCGAGTTTTCCACGTCTTTTTCGTCCCCACGTCCGGTTCCTGCTCCACTCCCGACCTTCCACCGTTCTTTGACCTGCCAATGCCACAAGTTGTCAACAGAGGATCTGTAAACCCAAAATAGTTGAGTCATTACAAAACACGTGCTGTGTTTCCATGATTTATATACCTGAAGATTCGAATACCTCCGGAAGGAGAGTTTACTAAACTCCTCGGATATTAAAGAAACAAGGTGGCTTTCGTCAACGCGGGATGACGTCCATTTTCGTGTTCGTACAATTTGCTTATTATTTCAATATGCTCCAAGGATTGGTCTGGCTAGGTGTGCTAGGGTTCTTTGGCACCCCAGACATTTTAACAGATGGCTCAGGGGGCCCCCAGAACTTGAAAATCCCGTATGAAGGAGGACTTTTCGTTAGTTATACCTTCTTCGAGAGAAAGGGCCCCAAAAACGTATCAGCACCCTAAGAATTTTCGAGTCAGGCCGATACTAAAAGTTTTCTCTGAGAGGACATGCACTCGACGTTTGATAAAAGAAGAAAACTTCTGTACTGACCACTACCAGCCTTGCGGGCGGAGGACATGTTGCGGCGTCGGGCGAACTCGGAGACCTCCTGATACTGGTCTTCGAAGATGATGGGGATGGTGGCGACGTCTCCGTCATTTTCGGGGCAAGTCACCGGAAGAGGCGGTAGTGCAGCCAGGTACCGAGAGCGCCGTACCAACTCAGACACGGCCAGGTAGCTTTGGTAGTTGGCGTCGTAACAGCCGGCCGCCGACGGGCGCGGGTTCTCCACCACGAAGAAGGCCTCCGCGAAACGTCGAACCTGCCCCAACAACAAAACTAATGATACATGCACTGAATAACACCTACATGCATTAAGCAACATATTGGGGGGAGGGGGAAGTAAGACGTAGTGGGGAGTTTAATGAGCCTCCAGGCAGGGCATACATTAAGGTACTACGCCTACGCAACATGTTTTTTCCTCATTTTCTGGGATTCTAGAACTCAATTCTCAAACAATATAACGTTTTATTAGATTGAATTAGAATAGATAGAATAAAACACACCAACTCGAAAAAATAAAACTTGTTAAGAGACACAAAAAATTCAGAGTAGGAGAAGAGATCGCTCTGAAAAACAGCTTTTCGATGCAAGAAGACAAGTACTCAGTGACACTTTAGAGGCCCAAAATGAAATAGATGCGTCATCTCCAATAACATATATGAAAATTGGTCATCTTTAACAAAAACTGGGAATTTTAAATTTAACGAGTCGGTGTGTTTTAATTTTCCTGATTTGCTAAACCAGTTAATATAGATTAAATCTTAGAATACAAATTACTATAGAATATTCGAAGCTCATTTGATGATGCGGTTTTTTTTTATTTTTGATATGAATTGTTGGTAATTTGAAAATAATATTGCGAAATACGGACTCTAAGTTGATGATGAATTTTGGCGAGGTACTGGTGGACGGGGTACTTGCACGAGAAGACGTCAAGGAACTGCTGCCAAAGCAGAATCTTCTCGGCACAAAGTTGAGCAATGTCGCTGTTTGCCACAGCTGCGAATTCCTCCTCGGATTCAATCAACTGCAACATCCAAGGTCAAACACCATACTTACTAAAGAAAGTTCAAGTATACCTCATGGGGAATAAAGCGGAGAGGGTATTCGCACGGAGAAACGGAGAAAAAAACTCGTGCGTGGGACCCGAAGTTGAGGTCTTATCGATCTCTGAGGTTTCCGGATTACGTATCTAAAAACTTGAGGTCCAGCTGCCGAAGTTCGGGTCAGACATCTGAAGTACTCCGGTACATACCGAAGCGCCTCGATGTCTGACCCGAACTTCGGCAGCTCGACCTCAAGTTTTCGGATGCGTGATCAGAAAACTTCAGAGATCCTAAGACCTCAATTTCGGGTCCCATGCACGAAGTTTTTTTCTCCGTGTGGATGGATTCAATCCAGATCAGTCAACTTGCATGTTACCTACACTTTCTTCTCATATTTTATTACATAAATCAGAAGGATATGCAAAAATAACAGAGAACGAAGCAACGTTTTGTTTTGAAACTTTCTCTAAATTTGTGTCTCGATCATGAAAAACGCGCTGGAAAAGAGGGAAAGATGGTTTGCTAGTTTTCGTTGAAAAATTAAACACAAAAAGAAATTAGGCAACGTCTCATGAAGTTGGACTAATTTTATTCTTGTCAAGTTTTACCATCTGAAGCGTAGAAGTTGTATACTTCGAAATCAAATCATAACTTCTTACCACCGTTGTCTTTTTGCATTCATTGGACCAACACAAACACATTATCATATTCAAGTATATTTTGATTCATATAATACCTATGTGAATCATGTATGAAAATGAAAATAAACAACTTAGGAATGTACTGTTTTGAGCAGAACTGGTTTCAAGATTTGCAAAAAACGATCAACTTTCGTCTCACGAGACCTGTCTAAAACATTCCAGAAAATAAGATCCCATGTAGGTTTTCCATTTTGAACACGTTTTTCCCTCAAATTTTTACAAATGTCTTTTAGGATATCCATGATCCATCTACCTTAATAACCGATTCAAGTAGGAGGAGATAGAGAGTTTATGATTTTAACAGAAGGTCTGTTTAAGTTTGTCTCATACTGTATGAGTTAGCATCCACTAAGTAACTCATTTATGAACAGTGGCTCTATTTCAACCAAACCTGGACGGTTGTTGGAGCAAGCCAAACTTTGCCTGGGAAAGAGAAAACTTTATAAAAAAATACCTTCATATTGACACTCATTGCTCCAAAAAGTAAGGGCCAAAATTTAAATTCACGCAGAGGGGACCCTCCTCCTCTACGCACTAAATTGCGGCACCCCTATTCACGAGTGGGTTTAGGTACGACAAAATGGTTTTTGGTGCATAATAATGGATCAAATAAGAGGTAATAGAATGTAAGACAACCTTTTCTACATCGTTGAGACTACTTAATGTGTTTAAGCTCAGTGCAGTCTTTTTGATTTCGGTTTGTTGCCAAGAGGGCAGGAGTTTGGCGTACTCAGCCATCGTAGATTTGAGCGATTCGTATGAAGTGAGCAACAAGTCGCAGATTTCCCGGTGCACCAGCTTGTCTTGTATCAGCTTGTTCCCTCCCATGCTAAGGCACTTGGTTCCTGTTCCACCCTGAAAATCAATCAAAATGGCATACAACTATTAGAAGCAATTTCAGCAATCCAGTCAATTCTAAAGTAAGAGTTCTCATACTACTAATATCGATGGCCAAAATGCGAGACCACCCATCTCCATTGCGTTGTTTCAAAATGTCCGCACTCATATTTCATTTTTTCAAAGTTAAACAGGAAATCAATTAAGATCACAATTAAGAAAGAAAGTGTTTACATCATAAATTTCAAAAATTCTAGAGATCATTTAATTAAAGTTTACAAACTTAAATTTTAATGAAGAAGTCCAAACTTATACTTAAATTTACAATTGAATCCTTTTATCGCGTATTTTATTTATCAAGATTCACAACGTAATCAATTGTAAAATTGCATTTTAGTGTTATTACTTAACTATGAATAAAATATGAAAGTTTTAACTTTACAGTTTGAAATTTATACAGAATATTCTGGTGACAGAGAGGAAAAATCAAGGACATTTTCAATGTATTACTTACTATTACTAGTTTTCGAATGAAAAAATAAAATATGACAGGAAGTCTGCGACGTCGCGAACGAAGATACGTGGATGTGCTTTTTGGGGGTCACGCCCCCCGGCCGCTAGGCGGCCCAACCCCCATGGGCCGCTTTCAGAAGAAGAATAAGGATCAGCGGCAGTACCTTAAGCCATTGTATTCCTTTTCTAGTTCATTTGTGAAGTTTGCCTTTTCTACATCAAAAAGTATGAGATCAAATTTTCATTTTGTCCATTATCAAAAGTGGCACATAAAATTGTATTAAAGACGGCTATAATGAATATTAACACTATGAGAAATCATTGAAAAAGTGCCTCCTTTTCCGATAACATTTCATGATGCAACTATTAAAGCGTATATCTCTCGATACAAATTTGCTTTATTTATTTGATTCAAGACTCAATTATAAACAGCACCAATTCTTTGAATTTTCTGCTGTTTGGTGGATTTACAATGTAAACTTTTCAGATATTCCAACGAGCACACGAATAAATCATTCTATCATTTTAAAGTGAGTCGGTGGCTCTAAACTTAACTTACTAAATTTTTTAGGAAGCCTGTCTCATTGGAAGACTCCGGCAGTCCAAAATTGAAATCTTGCGGATTGCCACTCAGCCAAGTTTTGCTACCGCGTGAGCTGAAAAATAAGAAAGAGAAAATTGTAATCATCAATTTATTGTATCTTCACTTTCACTACATATATAGTCGGGAACTATTCGAGCTTGGATGAGTTAGCTGAACAACTTCGGCATACATTAATATTCTTTTCTTGTGATTTACGATTCAGACTTTGTTTAAAAAAGCTCGAGCAAAGCGGAATAAATCATTGCATCAAATGCTTGTCTATATACCTATATATGAATTCTAAGAGGCTCTAAACTTACATCGAGGGGGTGCGGCGATTGATTTTAAATACGTTGAGAGATGGTGATTTTGTCACAGAATTGGCAATCAGATGCCGTTGTGAGTGTTATCCGAGAAGAGCTTCCTTAAGCCCTTAAGTGGATCTCTCAGAACTAATGAATGCGCTCGATGGGCTCAGTGCGAAAGTCTTCGTGGAATGCGGGTGCATTCATCACTATAGGTCAGATATTTCGTCGCTTGGCTGACATATGGGCGTAACTACACAATGAGATGAGCCCGGAAAAGCATTGAATTGTATGAAAGACAGGGTTCAATAGAATGTACTTACGCCCATCTGCCAGACAGGCGACGATTTATAGTAGAGTGCATCACTAAATATCTTTGAATCTTCGTGGATTATCAATTGGTTATTTGTGTCATCATGTATGAACTGTGACCTATAGATAACCAATATGTATGTACCACGAGCACCCTGCGCCAAATCTAAGAATACGTTTTATTTTATTTTTTTCTGGATAGGCATTATTTTAAAGATTGGCACGGATTCTGTTATTTTTATTTTCTCCAAATAATAAGCCTAATGATTATATATCGATGCGGCGACGCAGTGCACAACCGTGCAATCTTTGAAAATTATTATCCACGAAAAGTTAATAACCGAAAAAAATTGTGGATGAAAAAATCCTTCTTCGCAATTTTTGGAATTGTAGTGAGAAAACAACACAAACAGGTCAAGCGACAGCGGAAGGCAGGGTTTGGTTCAGGTGTTTCTTGTCGGACAGGGCAAAATTATTGTGCGCAATTATTAGTGCTCCAAATCTGTCTTATACATATTGCTGTCTCGGTTATTGAAGGCTTACTCGACAGAAGACGAGACCTGCACTGTACTCTGGACAGAGGAATCAACACGTGATCCTAGCCATACTTTAGCCGAAGTGTCAAAACTACTTCGCGCAACCAGGCTCGGACTAGCCATAAGGCCAATCTGCCATTGGCAGATACGCCCCCTCGACGCGCGGAAAACGCGCCCCTCTGACAGATAGCAAAAAAAGAAGAGAAAACAATTACGACCGAGAATATACGCGGAAAATTTCTAAAATGAACGGAAGAAGAGAGAGTTAGGAGTAAAGAAAAGTGTTTTTACGCATGATGGTCATGAATAGAGGTCCAAGAACTACTTTCTGAAGCGTAAACACTTTTCTGTGAAATTTTCATCGTTTCGTTAACATACATGCGCTTCATCATCCCCCTCTTTCATTCGCTATGTGTAACTCCCTTAGAAGGGATGGTCGGTTCGATTTTTACACATACTCACTCTCTATAGACTCTTGAGAGACCGCCTTTAAACATATTTCTTCCTTTTCAAAATGACTATTGATGTTTGGAATTACCATAGAATATCTCGGGCAAACATGACCTAAATTTATTTCGAAATTCAAAAATAAGAAATTTCTAAAGTGTAAACGCGATACAACTGTTCGCGCAAGATGGATGTCCACATTTCATATGAAAAAATGAAGACGCGATGGCGTGAGTCGTAAACTCACAATGCTCTCCTCTATGCTATTAGTTTGAGGCACCATCACGAATAAAAGACAAACGGAAACACAACGAGGGAAAGGATGCGCGTTTACGACGGCGCAGAGATACAACTATTCGTACTTGATGGACGTCCGTGCTGCATCTGAAAAATTGAAGGCGCGGTGACGTGGAGCGTGAGCTCTCAGTGCTCTGCTATATGCTGCCAATGAGGTGTCGCTCATATTCAGGAGAAAAGTTAAAAAAAAAGGCCCAAACACATCTCTTCTACCTCCGGCTGCGTTGATACTCGTTTTTTCGTCTTTTTTTTAGGTTCTTGTGTGATTTTTTTTTTAGGATGGATTGGCAGGCCCAAGTCTTAAGCTCAGGTAAACCGCAGCACTGGATCGGTCCTTTTGGAAATAATGGTGCTTGGTTGCGTCTAGTGGCTTTAATTTTTTATGTTTTTTTTTAAATTTTAGAAGTCTGTTGGTTACCTCAATACGTTCAATTTTTCAATTTTTACTCTATGCAATTAATACACTTTGAACCTGAAAATAGCGTAAACTTGTGCTGCTTTGCCAGAATTTTCTGAATCCCTCTCCACGGGGGGTAGATACCCTACCAGGAAATATCACATTACGCCTTTTAACCAGCCAAGGGTCTACGCCCTCAGATGCGAGCCAGTCCGACCCTGCGCGCAACTATTCGTGCTCCAGAGGCACTCATCGTGTCATCACAATTATTGAAGGCGAACTCGGCAGAATGCAAGACCTGCACTGTACTCTGGAGAGAGGAATTAACACGTGATCCTAGCCATACTTAGCCGAAGTGTCGAAACTAATTCGTGCTACAATTCGTGCTCCAAATTAGCTCATACTGCCATCGCGGTTACTGAAAGCGAACTCGGCAGAATGAGAGACAGTATGGCCTTGTCTCCACGGGCCGTTTCACGGGATTTGTCCCAGGGAAAAATCCCACTTACGAAATCGGAAAAAATATTGAGTTAATCAATATTTTTCCCAGTACCAAGTATGATCCTTGTACCCCTAGGATCAACTGAGAGAGGAAGAAAAAGTAAAAGCAAACTATACGATATTTTGTTGGTATTACTCCACTGTTCGTGTTTGTTTCGTTAATATAATGTGTCCAATTGTCAATCGTGCTCCATTATTATTTTAATCCGATTTAAAACTCGATTCTTACTAACATACCTTCCCTCGCAAACTTGTCGCAGGGTCGTAGGAACGTATGAGCCCCGTCCCGTGGAGACGGTAACTGGGAAAAATCCCAAAAGTTTCATTCCTGCGATTCAAACTTGGGACAAATCCCATGAAAACGTCCCGTGGAGACAAGGCCTTTGGAAAGTATTTTCTCGGGCTAGTAGCTCATTTTGCCGTGGTAAAGAAAAACGCCGTATGAACCTTCAGGCTTTGCCAAATTTCCTGGTAAACTCATATTTATTTTCCCTCCACTTTTTCAGATAATTTTGTTCGCAATTTCACCTAAAGTCCCTGAAATTTTCAAGGAAAAAATTTCATATCCATCCTAATAAAATGAACTTTTTATCTAAGGAAATTTGGCAGCTCTCGAATGTTAATACGGCGTTCTTCCTTAACACGGTATCATTATTGTCATTATTAGTTTTCATTATTTAGCTCCTCTAAACGAGTAGAATAATACTCATGTTTTGAAATAAAACTATGTAAGGTAGCAAAATACTACTTCTCCCTTGATATACTGTTCTTTTTCTGAGCAAGGCAGGACTAGGATATTCTATTGAAACTTACAGATGTGGTTGGTGGAGGGCAAGAAGTTGAGCATGGATGGTGACGGTGACCGCTGCCAGATGGAAGTAGTCAAAAAGGACGGGCAGGTGGTAGTGAAGGCCTTTCGTCGAAGAGAAATTGAGCAGGAGGGTGCGAGTCGAAACGCACGTTGAGATATGTTGTTCTGTATTCTCCGTTTGGTCGTTGAACCACAGCTCCAAGAAGAGCACGAACTCCGCATGCTCCAGAGTTTCTTTTATCTAAAAATGTAAGTATAACTTATGTAGTATGCTTTACGTCAACATTACATCTATGGCTAAAGTGGAAAAACACGTATCCTCCATTTTGATGTCGTAGATCTCTACTTGTGGCTCATTTCTTTCGCTTTTTTCTTACTGTCTCAAGGCGATTTTCATTTAAATTGTACGAAGGGGCATTTGCAAAGAGATCGCAGTTATATGCCACCAAAATTACACAATTTTCGCGCTTTATAGTGAAAAAATGGACAACATGCGGCAACACTAAAGATTGGGATAATACTGCAACTTTGTTGCAGTTTCTTTGCGAAAGTAAATTATTTGCAAAAAAGATACGACAATGCGAAGGTTTATTTAGCAAAGCAATCGATGACATTCCCCTTAGCTGAGAAATAATTGTTAACATTTGTGGACTCGATCGACGCTTTTAGTTGTACATTCAATTATTAATACTGACGCAAAGGTCAAAGCGAGAGAGCGAGTCCACGATTTTGCCGCCCCACCCCCACCCCCACCCCCAAAGAAAACTCTTTGTTCTTAAATTTTAAATTCTAATACGTGTCTTTTGACTATGAAGAATGCAACTTTCACATTAGCTATCATTTTACCTTATTGCTTCCCATGAGAACTTGAGCGCGGAACATGAACGTGTCATCCAAAGTCACCTCTTCGTTCGTGTAGACAATTTGAAATGTCTTGCTCACCCCAACTCCATTTAAGGTGTATGCACGCTGTCGCTCTTCCGCATCTAAATAAGGGAATTACTTAATTAATATGATGCTTGCGTTTTACTTTTCATTTAAAAGTCATGACGTTCTGTCGAATAAATTACCTGCGCATGACGAATGCCAATAGAAAGGTCTTGTGGAAAAAAATATGTAATCGCACACGAAAAAAGATACCTTCAGTCCACGGAGGCGATTTTTGCGACACAAGTTTTTTTTTTTTTTTTGTTGGGTTGGGTTGAAATTGGATTTTAAGAAATCGACAAGTTGCGAGTGATTTTAGTTCCTTCCTCGATCAATGAAGGAGAGTCAAGCTGTATCATTAACCGGATATTTCGGGCTGTGAATTTTACGGATTAGAATTTTAATTAGATTTTTCTCGAAACTACGATTCTACAATTTTTTAAACGAAAAATTCAAAAGCTCTAGTTTGAGTTAAATTGGGGCATTTTGTGGCAAAATGCATGTTAATACCTTAGTATCAAGAATCGGATGTTGCAGTTTTGGAGATTTGGAAACTTTGTTGCGTGGACAGACATATTAAAAATAATCAATGACGATTCTTTTAAGTTGGTAACGTCTAGGAGAGACAGAGGTCTTATGATCGAAATGTTTTACATAGATTTCTGTAGAAGAAATTTTATGTCACCAACTTGACGAAGAACTTTCGAGAAAGACTTTATATGGTTTGTTCTACCTGTAAATATAAGAGAGAAAAGTGACAGAACCATCGTTTTTCTTAACACCAACGAATGTATACTGTTCTTTTATAAGAGGTCCATTTCTTCAGACCCCCCACCTTCCCAAAATAAGAATTCAAGATCGACAAAGTTTTGTACTAGTTTTGTACCTAAATGTATACCTACCGCAAAGAAAAAGTTTTGTACCCATCATGTACAGTACGTACAATTAAAACTCAGGAGGGAGGGAGGAGCTGGAGAAATTAAGCACCCCACCTCTAAAATTCTACTCTTTTTTATCGCTAAAGTTTTGTACAAGTTTTGTACCGAGATGTACCAAGTAGGGAGAGTTTTCCAGATAAATGTTTAATCGTAATCCATCTTGCTTACCTTTGTTTCGAGGTAGATTGACTTCAATGCGAACTGAAAGCTTTGGTGACGCTCTGAGGTATGTACGGAGCTGATAATATCTGCAAATAAAAATTGATTCATCATCAGCAATGTTAAAAATTAAAAAACAACTTTATATTTTAAAAATATTAAGAGACTTTCATTTGGCATTGGCTTCATGTTAAAACCCCCACTTTTGTGAGGATTCAACAATCAACTTATGATGCTACCGCTACCTTATTGACTGTTGAACAACTCGTTGTGAAAACAAGCTTGTTTGGCACATTGCTCAACACGTACTCCAACTGTCAAGATAGAGGTAGCTCCAGTTTTAGGGAAGTGTGCTTCTCTCATCTGCCTGTGAAAAAATAAGGTAAACGGAAACGAAGAAAGTGTGGAAACAGAACAAAGGGAAAGGATGCGCGTTGACGACAACGCAGAGATACAACTGTTCGTGCTTGATGGATGTTCGTGCTGCATCTGCAAAATTGAAGGCGCGATGGCGCAAGGCGTGAACTCACAATGCTCCGCTCTATTGCGAGGTGTCTGTCGCTCAGATTCGGGAAAAGTTTAAAAACGAGGCCGGATTACGTCTCCCATCTCCAGCTGTGTTGACACTCGATATTTTTTCTTTTTTTCCGATTTGATGCCTGGTTCTTTTTTTAGAGTGTATTTTAAGACCCCATATGTAAAGCTCAAATATACCGGCCTCATACAACCCGAGGGACACGTGTTTTTAGTAAGCCTCGGGACTATTTGAACCGACTCGGGCATCTAAAGGTTAAGGAGATTCGATCCCTGGTAAGAATCGGCGATAGGAGCTGCGTTTCAAAATACCATATGAGTTCTTATAGCCGACTAAAGAGGGCGATAGAAAATCATATAGCTGGCTGTAGAAAGTGGAAAAAATCATACGGCCGGGCTACACGAAGCGATAAAAAATTATGCAGCCGGGCTGCATGATTCCTATCGCCGGGCTTTACATTTTATCGCCATTGGCTAAAAAAAGTTATAAGAAATTGTGTAGAAATTCTTGTGCTTTGTAAATCCTTAAGTTTGTACGGAATCACCTGAATATTTACAAAACGCACATTATATTTTCCTTTACTACATATTTTTTTCATCAATTAAAGTGAGAATACTCCATACAGAGTGTGCAAATATTTCAAAGTCATGAGTTGAAAAACGCTGACACCGCGAGATTAAATATTAGAGCGTAACACAAAGTGGAGCGGCGCGCGGTGGCGTACTGGCGCCTACAAACCTAACAGAGATACTTCACGCACTGCGCAATGCATGAAGTATCCCTGTTAGGTTTGTAGGCGCCAATGCGCGTTTCGCGCTGGCTGCCCGCCCGCCGCGCTGCGCCGCAGCGTACCACGGCGCTTGAAGCAACTATTTCACACCAGAGGTATTGCACAGTATCATACGAAATTGAAGGCACTCCAACATATTAGGAATGGCAGGCATCCTTCAAAAGTAGGGAGCTTTCCTCGCAAATTAAATCAAGATACTGCGGCCCAAAAAGAGAGCGGTAGTCCAAAAACTCACTAAGTCCTAGCATCTGTAATTAGTAACGTTTAGCATACACTTTATTGCCAGGCTGTTGCTTAGTCGCCATCGGCTATAAAATGCTATAAGAAATTGTGTTGCCGGCTGTAGAAGCTATTGGAAATCTTGCAGACGGCTGTAGGTCTATGGTATTTTGGAACACAGATTCTACTGCCAATTTTTACCAGGGATGGACGCCATATTTTGTGTCAAAACGACATGCGATTTATCGCATCGATTGGCTCCATTTTTTCAGCTACTCGTCATTTCTCTCGAATTTTGAGAATACAATTCTGTTGTCAGGAGACTAAAAAATCCACTTACCAATTTTAACGAACAAATTCAACGTAAAAAAGGCGTGCTTTTTTTAGAAGAAAAATATCGCATTCGATACTAATATCGAAATTGCACTCGAATGCGATATTTTCTCTGTAAAAAAAAAACCACGCCTTTTTTACGTTAAATTTGTTTGTCAAAATTGGTAAGTGAGTTCTTCAGTCTCCTAACAACAGAATTGCGATCTCAAAACGCGAGAAAAATGATGAGTAGCTGAAAAATGGAAGCAATCAATGCGATATATTGCATTTCGTTCTGACACAAAACAAATACAGCGTCCATCGAATCGCCTTAGAGAATATAACACAAAATGGAATCATTTGATAATTACGATAGAGATACGCATTTTTCACTTTTGGCCATGGATATGTTAGTGGTTATTTAAAGAACCCATACTGAAGTGAACTGAACTGAAGGGACTCGTTTGGATCGAAGAGTTGTTCTCCACCATCTAGGATACCTACTTTCTAAGGTAGGAGGGAGGAGTAAATGGGGCACTAACGAGAGTCCGTAGTTTTTGTGTTGCTTTTTCTTCGAAAGGGAGAGTGAACGTTCAAAGCAGACAAACGCCATAAATACACTGGTTATTGTCATTTGTCGTGATAAAATTCAATAATAGACTTGTGAAGTTGTCGTCATGCTAAACGACGTCACATCGAAAATCCTCTATAAAGCGGTATTATTTCGGTAAAAGCACGTTTCTGTGTTGGCCGTGGGTAGAGATGGAAAATTTCATGAAATTTATTCGAGTGAAATTTCACGAAATTCCATGAAATTTATTGAAACTTTTGGGGATAGATTCAGGAGGCTAAGAAACGCCTAAAAACAGTGCGATTCTAATTTTGAAATTTTTTACCCCAAGCCTAAAACATTCGCGCGTTACAAATGTTTTCATTTAGTTTATAGGTTAGGTTGGGGTTTTTCTCTCTAAACTCCCCTTTCTGCCCCCTCTTTGTGTCTGTCACCTTCAATAGAGTAGATGTTGGAGTTTTTTAGCCAACGTGCGTAAAAAATTCAGCTTAAAGCTGAAATCTCATTAGAGAGGGAAAAAGCTCACACACAAGCACAATTTTCCCTCAAAGAGATATGCTGTTTGGAGCAACACTGTTTTTCCCCTCTCTAATGAGATTTCAGCTTTAAGCTGAATTTTTTACGCACGTTGTCTAAAAAACTCCAACATCTCGTCTTTCGACCCTTGCGTTCACCGCAATTGGTTGGTGTTCAATAGAGTAGCATAATACCGCAGCATCAACAGAAAGACCATCTGAAACGCTTTCAGACCTCCATAGGTGTAATCAATAATTCTAAAAGAAATTAATAAATTTCAACTTTTTTGAAATTTCTAAACGTGAAATTTCACTTTCCATCTCTGGCCGTGGGGCAGGGAGTCACGGTATTTTCGTTCATATTCTTCACCTCGAAATTAATTATTTTAACAAAAAGAAACCATACACTTTCAGACCCTTGAAACTCGCTACACTATAACATTCTAAGGAAGAATGCCGCGCAATCCTTCGGATGTTGTCAAATCTCCTTTGAAAAGGAATTTTTCAAATATTTGTACTCCGATTTTTCTGAGAATTGCAGTCGCAAATCTCTGTAGAGTATTTGAAACTTTCAAGGAAGGAAAATACATAAAGGCCTAGATAAAAACGGCGATTAATCGCCGTGTGTATCTAGGCCCTAACTTTCGGACAAAAAACATTTTATCGCGGGAAGCCTCGCAACATTCGGATGTTCATACGGCGGGCGATTAATCGCCGTGTGTATCTAGGCCCTAACTTTCGGACAAAAAACATTTTATCGCGGGAAGCCTCGCAACATTCGGATGTTCATACGGCGTGCAGTGGATCGAGTCAATTAGAAAGGTCGGACATGAAATTTTTGACGATACAACTGCAAAGTTCAATGTTAATTGCGTCACATTTTAAATTTCAAGGGCTGTTTCTTGCAGAAAATTTTACGAGGAAACCAATGAAACCACTTTTAGAACCTCAAAGTTTCGTATAAACGGAGTTATAAGCGTTTAAAGTCTCCAAATTTTGTCCGAATTCTCCTTGGATCCACTGTGCGGCATTGCTCTATTGCACGGTAATGTAGGTAAACCCTGCTACTGCGCTCTTTGCGATTTTAGAGCGATTTTACACTTGAAAAACTCTCTTTCCAGCTCCAGCAAAAGTTTACATCACTCTCATCGCGAGCCAGTGATTCTCAAGTGAGAGAGAAGTTGGAGAAGTGCGAATCTCACCCTCTCTGGAAGAGATCAACGTTGTGGAACTCGAGGAGTTCAACGGCGAACTCAACAGTGGCTTGCACTTGCGTCATCCTCGTCAGTGTGCAGTCTTCACCTGAAACAAAATACAAGCAATTCATTTAGTGAACCCTGTAAGCATAATCATGAAATGGAGCCGAAGATCCAAGAGCCCAGTACATAAGGGGTCGTTCATAAAATACGCTACGCTGAGAATCGGATTTTTTTACATCCCACTCCCCCTGTAAACGCATCGGTTAAGCCCCCCCCCCCCCCCCCAAGACAAAGTCACGTAACGATTTGTTCACCCCTCCCCCTTAAATTAGTGTTTTGAGATGAATTGAACGTATTTAGGCTACATGAATCTACGTGTAAGTGGAGAGATGGGGTGTGCTCGTTAGTGCTCGGCCACAAGAATGAATAAAGCGCCAGTGACGTCAGCGGCAACGACGGGAGCGACGACGCAAAGTGGATCGAGTCCATGGGAGAGGTCGGACAAAATTTGGAAACTATAAACGCTTATAACTCCGTTTATACATAACTTTGAGGTTCTAAAAGTGGGTCCATCGGTTTTCTCATGACATTTTCAACTATACATACACCTCTTGAAATTTAAAATCTGACGAAATAAACATCATTATTTGGAGTTTTATTCAGAAATTACATGTGCGACCTCTGTAATTGACTCGATCCACTAAGGGTCGATCGGCAACGCGGTCTTTAACTCATGAGCCCTGTCCACAAAGCTCTTGTCACATGCCCACGGCTCACGAGTTAGCGCTCCCAATCAGTCCCTTTTGATTAAATTAAAAATTCCGATTTCCCATTTTCTCAAAAGGAATTATATCCACTGACCACATTGTTTCTCATGCAGCTTCCACGAGCACACTCTATCTTTCCACTTGCACACTCTATCTTTCCACTTGCACATAGTTCCTTCTGGCATAAATGCGTCCATTTTTTCATGAAGGGTTGCCACCTCGCATCGATGTATTATCTTAGATTTTCGATAAATTATATAGCATCACGCACACATTACAGCGCTGAGTAATGCGGTTACGCCCCCTCTCCTCCTGCAACGCACCCGTGTAATGCAGGCTAAGACCCCCCCCCCCTTCCGAACTAAAGCATCACGTATTTTATGAACTAAACGTTTCATGGAAATGTTTGTTATTTGTAACCGTTCAGCAGAAAACGGACCTTGGTCCTCAACAACTTTCGATTTGAATTTTTGGTAAGCCAGGGCATTCGAGGAGTGATCTGATTGTTCTGCGAACATTTACCGACGAAAACTGCCCCCGTCTCCAGGAATACAAAATATAACTAGCTTTATGACGGTTTGAAATTTAAAATTAATGAAATGTGGTTTTGACTATGAGCTATTGAACGTGCTACTCTGCCATAATCAGGGCAATAAATTTGCAGAATATATTGCAGCTTGATGCTCTGAAGACAAGATGATTAAATCAAGGAAAACATGTCTCGAGAAGCTATGTATTCAAGCTATGTATTATTGATTGACTCAAGTTGAAATCGTTTTAACGCCTAATTCGTCTTTGTTTTTTTCCAGTAAAATAACTGTATCGCTGGCAATTTATATTTTCGGACACTGGAGAAGGTTTTCTGTCGTAATGGACCACTAGACAAGGTACGAATTTAAGCAATCTGATACATGTTTCTTAACCAGAATTTCACGTAAAACACGATTCGCGCAACGAAAATTACTGAAACTAACTCCTAACGAAGATATTATCGTTTTTATTTCACATTGGTTACGAGGAATTTGAACTGCCCGCTCTCAAGAAACTCAAAAGCTCTACGTGAGTCAAATCGCTCACTACAACGGTTTCAGAAAGCTTCTCAATCGAGCAATGTTCATTCCCCACCATGTGTTGTTCAACCTATAGGTAAGCAATTTGCTATAGCTGAGCCAAAGCGTCAAGATTGAGGTTGCCAGATTTTTATATAGCAGAGACTGTCATAATAACATTCAGCGCGCGATGTGAATCTCGTAGAGAATTGAGTTTTCATGAGCGGGTGGTTTGAATTCACGTATCAAGAATCGTTAAATATCTTTGGAAGGAGTTGAATTCGGTAATTTTCGTTGTGCGCGTCGTATTCTACGTGAAATTTTAGTTACGAATCATGTATCAGAATGCTGAAATTCGCACCTTGTCTAGTGGTCCATTGCAATATCCGGATTTTCGATTTATGACGAAAGAAAAAATCTCATTGCTAAAAAAAATTGCTTCTTGAATTATGTAAATTCTCTTTCTCATGGCCAGTCATACTTAAAGAGTCCGATGCATGAACCTGCTAAATTGCATTTTTTAAAGAAAAAAATCGTGTCACAAGGGCGTTTCTGGCATTCTCATAAGTTACGTAATGTTGTTGATATACCAAGTCAAGCGTATACATATCGTCACCTTCCAGGCAAAGTATCACAACACAAGCGCCATGCGACGTTTAAAAATTTCCGCCGCCATTTTATTTCTTTACTGAGAAATTGTTGGTTGAATCTGTTTGGAAATTTCACTAAATTTTATCGGCAGCACAAAGAAAATTCAGTGAAATTTTCGGACAGCTTCGTTGAACAATTTCTCTGTAAAAAAATAAAATGGCGGCGGAACTTTTTAAACGTCGCATGGCGCTTGTGATACTTTGCCTGGAAGGTGACGATATGAGAATATGACCACACTTTAACCGAACTGAGAAATATAAGAAGTATATTTGGATTGCATTTTGCAAAAAGGAACCACAAGAATTGCAATGCTGCTAAGATTTTGCAACTTCATTCTTTGCAATAAAATTACTGAAACCTTGAAAAAATATGAAATTTACATAATAATATTTGTCTTTAATGCATAGTTTTTAGCGAGTAAAATTGGAACTGTTAATGGATAATCAGGTTTTTTTTCCAAGACAAAATAATATGCACAATTTTAGCAACATTGCAATGCTCCTGGTTCCTTTTTGCAAAATTTAATCCATTTTCTAGTAGGGAAATGCAATAAGTTTCACATTCAAAACTATCTCTTTATTATGGCATTCTTCAATGCCTTCTGTCGATGCACGGAATGCATCCAAACTTACGCGGTAACGTATACTTTGAACTCGGTGAAAAGAGTGCTCACGCCAAGTTTTACGGTAATAACCATGTTCCTCAATAATTATAAATTGTTTGTCGGTGAGACTAAGCTTTGACGTGCTCAACTATTAAGTGCGTCAAAAAGTTCAGATTTACGCCAATACCCCTCTTTTGTCTATTTCTTAACGGCAAAGTTCACTTGTATTTTACGTGCACTGTTAAAAATCAATGATTTGATCTGAGTAAAATCAATGACTTACTCTGAGTGAATAGCCGGCGTGAAAAAAAAAATCCAGCGCGAATTTCGCGCCGTACTCTGAGTGAATAGATCAGAGCGTGAATAGCACCAACGACGGACTAATTAGTTGAGGTACCTCAAGTAACGTGAATTTAGGGCCTCCTGGCACGAGCGCCGAATGACAAAGTGGTAGCGCACTCATCTAATGCCGCCGCGACTCGAGTTGGAATCCATGCTGCGGCAAATCCGTTTTACGTTTGCCTGTCAGATATTCACTCCGGCCAGAGCGCGAAATTCGCGCCGAGCTTATTCCGCGCCGGAACCATGCACTCAGAGTAACAAGTGCTCAAAATAGCAACTGAGGAAGCGTGAATTTCGCGCCGGGATTTTTGACAGTGTGGAGATTTATTAGAGTACGATTCAATTGATTTTATTACATAAAAAATTGATAATAATAAAATGTCTTTATTCTTTTCCTTAATGCCTATTTAAATTCTGCAGATATCCTCTCTGTGGAAAAATCTTAATACGGTAAAGTACGGTACAGGAGATGACCAGTTAGGGATGTGTGCACACTCACACCACGTAAATCAATAAACCAAACTAAAAACTCCGCAGTGTGCAAAGATTCGTTGATGACGGCGCAGAGATACAACTATTCGTGCTTGATGGATGTCCATGTTGCATCTGCCAAATTGAAGGCGCGCGGCGTGACTGCGTGAATAATCCGCTCTATGCTGCCAATCAGATATCTCGTAGATTCGAAAGAAAGGTAAAAAAGGCCCAAGGACGTCTCTCCTATCTCTGTCTATGTTGATACTCAAATTTTTGTTTTAATTTCAATTTGATGTCTGGTTCTTTTTTTAAGATGTATTTATTTTGTAGATCTATATCTAATACTCTAATGTACCGGCCCCATGAACAACCCGCGGGGCACGTGTTCTATTAGTAAACCTCGGGTCAATGCGACCCGATTTCGACATCTAAGGGTTAAGCGCCGAAAGAGGGGCTGTAGTTGAATTTACATCTCATTTTTCAAGCCCTAAACGACTATAAAAACAGTTTTTTTTTTTTTTTTTTTTTTTTTTTTTTTTTTTAAACTGAGTTTTCTCAAACTTTAGACCTCAAACTTCCATATTACTGATTTGGTTTGACATTCTTTATTATAGTTTTATAGTCGTATAAATCTGCTCCATCCTCTGGACTCAATAATTAAAGTTTGAGGTTCTATGGACCAAGGTCTCTTTCCCGTGGTTAATGGCATACTCGAATTAAGCCGAGCTAGGAATAAAAGCCGTATGAACGTTCGAACGTTTCAAAATGTTCTCCGACTAAAAAAATATTTTTTATAAAATTTGAAATTTCTTGAAATTTCTGGACACTGGGAATTAAATTGCGCAAACAATTTTAAAAAAATTAAAAGAAAAATATCCCGAAGTTTTCTCGAACATCCGGAATTTATATAAGACAATGTGGCAAGGTCTAAAAGGCTCATATAACGTCCTCCGCTATCATTTCACCACGGTCTGAGAGGTACAATGAAAACAGCGAAATTCTGAAGTACGATCACTCAGTAAATGCATTTGCTCTTTTATTTAAAGCCTTTAGATTTTCAAAATTTTAGGGGAAAATGCCCCCCCCCCTCCATAACTTCCAAAATTTAATTTTTGGTAACATCTTTCCATGCATGCATTTGAATGTACCTAATCATCGTATTATATAACGTTACCCTGTAAATTTAATATGCAATTCGTTCAGTTTTAGTTTTAAA